TATTTCTATTGGAAATTCATTCAGAGGAGTAAAAATAGACCAATGAATTAAATAAAACTAACAATGGCAATCACTTCTCTCTCCTCTTTTCTTTTCTATTTAAAATAATAATTATCACATCTTGATCTGAAACCAAGAAGAAATTTCCCAACATTTGTTTATTTCCCTCAAGATTTGTAAGCAATCTTCTAGGAAATTGTTTCAATATGTTTAAAGAGCTACTTCCCCATTCCTTAAAACAAAACAAAACAAAAAAAATCTTCAAGCCTGATTATTTTTACCCAAGGGATTTAATGTCTGTCATTGGGGATCTTGCTTTTTACATATTTTAGTGTTTCAGTTTAATAAACTTCTAAAAAATATATTGGGATTCTGAGAAAGAAGGATCGTCATGTTAATTTCAAAATGTCATAAACATATCAAGTAAACTTTGATCAGTCCATGTGCACTCTGTATATTTAATCAATGCATGCATCTCTTTTGTTTGAGAAGTAAACATTACAAACTACCTGCCATCTTAAGACTCTTGAAATGAAATATGTTTCCAAAACAGCTTTTGAAAAACTACCACTGTGCCACAAATTAAACTTTTGTGAAATAATATAATACCATACTAGCAAGGTGCTCATTTATATTTGAACAACTTTAACTCTAGTTTCTACATTGTTCTCTACTTATTTAAGTAAAATTTTTTGCCTATAACCAATACTTGCCACCACACACACACACACACACACACACACACACACACACACACACACTATATAATAGTTATCCTTGGACAGACTATATGCTACATAGAGAGACTTCTCATTTGATTGAAGGACAAAGCATAAAATTGCAAAGCTTCCCTTAGCAAATCTTGGTGGCCATACCTAATGAGGTCATTCTTGTGTTCTTGCCTCTTCTGAGCTAAACCTGAGACAAGAACATCTCTGATTTTGGACAGGTACAGAAAGCACAATGTCTGCCAGCATTTCAACTCAAGTTTGCAAGATCTAAATTTTACACACTAAATCAAACCCCTGATGTCAGTACTGTCATCCATGTTGTAACAAAGGAATTTCAAATTTCACAACGCTGGTCTGAAAACATTTGCTGTGCCCCAGTTTTGTTGTGCCTTCAGGAGAGCAAAGACTTCCTTGGAATCCAAAGCTGGTGATACAACCCATTGGTGTTCTACTGAGGAAGTGCAACCTCTGTCAGAGAGGCCTTCAGGACTTTCTGTATTGTTTTGTTCCCTTCTGGCTTTCCAAGTGAACAAAAGAGAAAAGGGAGAGTGGAATTTGCCTAATCCACTTCTACAAGGGTGGGGCTTGCCTGATAGGTCACTCTTGGGAAGAACTAGGGCCTTGCTGCAAATATTAGATGTCATCTACTCAATCCTCCCTCTCTCTATAGAGATAAGGAAAGCTAAGCTCACAAATGCGTGATGGCAAAGAGGATATTTGGACAGAGCTTGTAGCTATGAGATGAGACGTGTGGATGGCTATTTATGAGAACAGTACACATACCACTGAAAGCTACTACACACACTGTGTCTGGAAAGTCACTTGAATAAATGCTATTTTGGAAAGACATCTTATTCAAGATGTGCTATTAGTGCTAAATTCCTAAGGGGGACTTCAGTTTCCTAGTTTATAACATGATGCTGAGATAGTGATGAAGAGATGATGACCACAATGATGATGATGACATCTAACATGGTAGCAAGTGAAGTCATTGTTGAGTTTAATGTATAAATGCCCATTGGAGGATGCTTACATCAAGGACTGCTCAATACATCCTGAACCACACAGCTACCAGACTCTCATCAGCATCAGTATGGCTGACAATAAGAGAAGTGATAGAGAAAGGCTTCTCCCTTAGGAGAGAAGAAGTAAGATCCCCCTTAGCCAAGACCTGCATGTGATAAGAAGATGTGGACCAGACACACAGGCTCATGCCTGTAATCCTAGCTAGGGGGGTGGTGAGGGGTATGGTTGTGGGGCCTGAACTCTGGGCCTGGGCACTGTCCCTCAGCTCTTCAGCTCAAGGCTAGCACTCTACCACTTGAGCAACAGCGCCACTTCCGGCTTTTTCCTTTTTGCTTATGTGGTGCTGAGGAATCGAACCCAGGGCCTCATGCATGCAAGGCAAGCGCTCAACCACTGAGCCACCTCCCCAGCCCCCTATGAGACTCATCTCCAATTAACCATCAGAAAATTGAAGTGATGCTGGTGCTCTAAGTGGTAGAGCGCTAGCCTTGAGCCAAAAAGCTCAGGGACAAGCACCCAGGCCAGGAGTTCAAGCCCCATGATTTACAAAAATGGAAGTGGGATGTTTTCCGTTTCTCCAAATAAGGGGAAAGCCCCAAAGCTAACATTAGGAGCTAGATACTCGCGCTCCATAGCAAAGATGATGTAAGACGTATCCCTAGGGGGCTTTCTAAGTACCAAAGAAGGCAAATGTGTGCTCTATGATCAGAAAAAAAAATACATTAATTTGTCTCTATTCATATGCAAGGAAGCCACGTTAGTATAAATACTATAATTGAGGTTCAATTTAGAACAATACTGCCATCTGGTGATTACATAATTTATAACACTGTGCCTTCATTCACTCAATAGGAACACATTCATTGACTTTGTGCTTTAAAAAAAATACTTCATATTTCCTCTTTTATTTTCTTTGCTATTAAGAGGAGTTCAGTAAATAAAAAACACTGGGGTCATGGCTTCCTCTGAATTAAGTTCTGAGTTTCCCATAGCTCACTCATTCTTCACCCACCATAAAATATGTCACATCTTCCTTGATCTGGGAAGACATAGCTCTACAGCCTGACAAGTGAACTCTCCATTTCATGCCATGGTTGCTTTCTCTGCCTTCGTTCATCTTTATATCCTCCTCCCCACATTACTGGTCCAAAAGAATGAACTGAAAAGACAAAACAACAACAAAAAAACCCAAAACAAAACTATAGCTGTGCACCAGTGGCTTATGCCTACAATTTGAGCCACTCACGAGGTTGAGATATGAGTAGCATGGTTCAAATCTAGCCTGAGCAGACAATTCTGACTCTTATCTCTAATTAACTAGCAAAAAGCTGGAAAGTTGAAATATGGCTAAAGTAGTAGAGAATTAGCTGTGAAAGAAAAAGCTGAATGAGAGAGCATAGGGCCCTGAGTTTAAACCTATTACCAACCCAAAACAAAATGAAAGTAAAGTAAAACTTTCTTCGATTTATCATCAATTACGTGATTTTCTTATAGGTCCAATTTTATTTCTCTTCCATGATAAAGGACATATAGACATAACACAAGATTTTGTCCAAAATGCCTCTTTTTTTTTCTCACAAGACTGAACTGAATGTAAGACAGGTTCTATTAAGATATTCTTAAAAGTGCAATACCCATGGTACATGATCATATAAAATGATATTTATCAAACTGAACTCCAGGAAATAGAAACAAGAGGGGTTTTTTTTGTTTGTTGGTATTTTTGTTTTCTTTTCCTTTTGTCTTGTTTGTTCATGTATCTGTCTTTGGATGGGTAAGAGGGGACACAGAAATGGAGGGACAAAGGTTGAACAAATGCAGCAGTGTGACTCACTAGACTATAGTTCATGTTGACCATGAACGATACAACTTATGGGTGGGGACAGAAGGGGAAAACTGGGAGACAGCGAAAAGGAAGGGGTGACATTGTTCCCAAAAATGTACTCTTTACCTGACTTATATGACAAGAACTCCTCTGCACAATTGAGGGAGGAGGTCCCCACTCAAAACAATGATGTGATGATTGTGATTTAATGGAGGGATGGGGGAAGGAAATTTTGATGCACAGCCACATATTTTGGCAGGGCCCCCAGCAGCACTGTTTCTCAGGCTGATCATCCCAGCGTTTCCTGGGGAAACAAGCCCAAGTCATTCAGGCTCTCAGCATCCAGGGGCTGGTTCACACTTCTGCTGGCAGAAAGCCCTCAGCTGCCCTTCAGAAAGGGTGCCTGGAGCCTTGAACTCGAGCTTCAACCAAGTGAGATTGAGGAGGTCTAGACATGCCCCATGATTTTGAATCACCCCAAATGAAAGAACTGCTACGCATTCTTCAGTTGACTTGCCCAGTAGTAACATAGAAAATAAAATACGATCTATGACTCATATGCTTTTAAACCATTTATTTTGCGCAGTAGCTTATGTCATATGCCATGTGCCTTCCACTTTGTGCTAAAGCAAGACTGGAGGGAAATACTCCAGGTAAACAATTGTTTGCTATAGTTGAGCAAAGACCACAACTGTCTCAGATTTCCTTCAGATGAATGAACAGGATCCCGAGATCTGAATCTTCTATCTTCCATTCTTTCATGAGCTCCTCCAGGGCATCACTAAGAGCTTAGTAAACAATGGAATTAGCGAGGTTTACTCTGTTGTCGCCCAGCCTCAAGTGGCACACATAACTATTACTCCTGTCCTCCCCAGCAATCACCAGATAGCAACTTCTCTACAACCCACCTATCACACTGACCCTGGCAAATAGAGTAAAAGCTTATTCACCTGAGCAGAAGAATGTCTTTGAAAAAGAAGAGTCCCCATGGTTCCCTTCCACACATTATTTCAATGAGTTCCTCAGGCTTACATAGGAAACTGTTGCAAGTTATGAGACAAGTTATGCACCCCATTCGCGGTGAACTTGCTCTAAACCAAGCTCCTTTTGTAAGAGAAGTTCTATGGGTACTGCTGAATCCTCTGGACTTCTGTCAATAACTCCTCCATGCTGGCTGCCTACCCTAACACCCACATAGCTGAAGCCACCAGACAAGGAGAATCAAGTTTGCCCCTTCCCAGCTGTATCTCCAAATCCACCATCATGACGCTGCTCACATCCTAACCCAGATGATTTTGTTAACCAGATCATCTGTTGTCTGGTGCACACTTTTGTGTACTTTCTCAGTTCCTAACCTCCAGCACCCTTAGGAAGGAGCAGCTCCAGCTGTGAGCAGCTGCTCTTGGACAATGCTTTCTTCAGTTCTGCTCAGAATCCAGTTGGTCAAGTCGCTGTACGATCATGTTGTTGATTTTCTTAAGATCATCTATGTCCTTTCCCTCTGCTGTTAGTCTTCTTGACACATCATCCATCCTGGTTCCAGTTTGAACTGCAAAATGGAAAACAGATCATGTGACACCTATTTCTGGTATGTTCTACTAGGGTCGTCAGAGCCCTTGTGTGCTCAGCTGAGAGTGAAACCTCTGTTCTGGGATACACGGCTCCTAGAAGCCCAGGAGAGACACTGATGAAGACTAAGTTTTCTAGTAAGTGAATGATATCCACAGCCTCTGGTTTCCAAGCTAGCTCACTTTTGGCAACTCCAGATAAATTCTTGCCAAGAAGGATCTCACTGGAAGCAACTAAAGCCATTCCCAGTGTGTCTGACTTCTTCCCAGAAGTAACTGATCTATTGTCTTATTATTCCCATCATTTAGGGAGTGACATTTGTTTGAGTCTCAACCTATTTTGAAGTGTCTGCTGGTTGTGAATCATCAGCCCACAATGAATGTGTAATAATTCTTTTCAGACCACTCCTCCGAATAGAGCACATTGTTCTCCACACTGGACTCAGATGCAGGGCAGTGCAGGAAGGAATGGAACCCTTGGTGGTCTACATCTCACAGATTTCCAAGAAATGTGGCAGAAAATCAGTACTATATCTTTGAATTCCTTATATCCATTTCAGGCGATTTTTTTTCAAAGATACCTTTCAGACCTATGGTGCTAAGAACTTGTCACTGGGACTAGCAGATAAACGAACATAGAAAATATTAAAATTTCACCTCAAGGTCTTAGGATAAATTGGCTTCACAGTGGTTACTTCTCTCTCATGTCTAAAATTATGTTGGATGAAATGTGGTCTAAGACACGAGAGCAGAATGCTAACTAACTGTGCTGCTAAGCCACACAGATGCTATGTATTTCTTAGATAAAAGAATAATACTGAAGTAAATACATAACATTTCTCTCTTCTGGTGGGCTGGTGGGGGTGTGTGTGCTAGTGCTGGGGTTTGAACTCGTGCTTATACTTGGCTCTTTTTTTTAACTCTATCTAAGCTGGTGCTCTACCATTTGAGCCATATGTCCACTTCTGGCTTTTTGCTGGTTACTTGGAGATAAGAGTCTCAAGACTGGCTTTGAACCTTAAGCTCAGCCTCCAGTGTAGCTATGTGCAAGTCACCAGCTTCAGGAAATGTTTCTTTTTTATAATTCTACCACATTGGTCAAACCCAGAAGAAAATGACAACCATGTTTGCCTAACTCTGTCTATTCCACAGTACACTGGTTCTAAAATAAATTTCCAGGTGGGAGGGGCAGGAGGAAGGGGGCAGTTTCCATGTACAAAGATGTTACACCACAATTGTGTACTTACCTATCCTTGGGGATGCTCAAGAAGTAATGAAAGACCTGAAACTTTGCCTAGACCAATAGTTCCCACTTATTTGAACCCCAGAGCCCTTTTCTTCAAAGAAACACTTGACTTCCCTGGAACTAGTGCTCTGTGGAATAAACCACTGGTCCAAAACTGTCAGCAGAGGCAGACACAGGAAGCAGGCTATTTTCACTATTCATTATTCATCATTTGCATGATGGTTCTGACTATGACTAAAGCACAAGGCCTGACCATTTCCTGAGAGCATCAACAGTGTAGTCTTATTTCTCTTGTGTAAAAATGCCAGACTTAGAAAGAGTAGAAGTCCACACACTTTAATTAAGATGATATATTTTTGCTGTGATCACCACCAAGAGCAAAATGGCCCCCCTGTTAAAATTGAGCACAGATCAAGTTAATTGCAGATGTTTGTGGCAACTCTGGTCTTAGGCTGGATTCCGGCTTATCTGAAAACCACAAAGAGATTTGTTCTCATTCCCACATACACAGTGGAGTGCTCCACAGCTCCTGAGTCTCATGCCAGGGGACCACAGCTCTGCCTCTGATGGACAGAGAAAGTCTCCTTAAGTCTTTCCTGAGTAAAATAAGAACATCAGACACCATCTTATAGGGCAAACTCACCATGTTGAGGACAAACTCACTTAAAGTGAGTCTAATATGTCTGACAGAGAAAATTATAAGACATTCTTCTTTTTTTCTTTATTTTTGGCAGTCCTGGGTTTAAATTGAGTGTTTTGTGCTCACTAAACACGTATTCTACCACTTGAATCACACACCCACCTAATCCTTTTTCCTTTAGTTGTTGTTGTTGTTGTTGTTGTTAGATAAAGGCTCACTTTTGTCTGGGGTCTACAACTCCTTTGTAGATGGAATTATGCCCAGCTAGATTTTGTTTGTTTGTTTGTTTGTATTGTTGGTCGTGGGTCCTGAACTCTGGGCCTGGGCACTGTCCCTCAGCTCTTCAGCTCAAGGCTAGCTCTCTACCACTTGAGCCCCAGCGCCACTTCTGGCTTTTTTTTTTCTTCTTATGTGGTGCTGAGGAATTCAACCCAGGGCTTCGTGCATGCAAGGTAAGCACTCTACCACTGAGCCACCTTCCCAGTTCCCCAGCTTGATTTTGTAATGGACCCTTGCTTACTTTCTTCCCAGGGCTTATTTTGAACCACAGTCTCCTCAATCTCTGCCTCCCAACAAATTTGGATTATAGGGATGAGCTACTGTGCCCAACAACTGATACTCTTCTCTAGTCATCTGTTTGATATGAAACTTTGTCCTCAGTATAAAACACTCAAGGCAAATGCAGTAAATAAAATACAGCAAAATAACGTAAAACACAAAATAAACCTTATTTCATTTATAGAGGAATAAAATAATGCTGATCTAAGTGCATGGTATTTGATGTCCAGCAGTGCTGGAGCCCTGACTAGGAACTTACTAGCTATGTGACCCTGTGCTTTTAAGCCTTCATTATTAGTAAACCAGAATAATAATAATGGATCTGCTCTAGACAGCTGTTAGAAGGTTTTGAGCAAATGACCAGACATTGAGTGCTTGGCACTGTACTGTGAGTTGAGGAAACATTAATATATTTGTTATTATCATTTTCTTTAATCATGCTACATATGTCTCTGAAGAGAGAACTCCATTTGGGTTGCAATTTCTGATTAGTTTAACTGAGCCATAATGGCTCATGCAAGTATAGCAAAGGGCAGAACACTGACTTATGTTGCCATAACATCTCAGAATAATAGCCCATGTACTCTTCCTGGCCTTGAAGGTTAACAATTACTGTAAGGATAATTCACATGTTAGCTTCTAAGTGCAAAAGAGCATTCAATGAATGGGCGAGAGAAAAGTAATGAGGTGTGCCTCAAGTGGTAGGGCACCTGCCTAGCAAGCATGAGGCTCTGAATCCAAACTTTAGGACCACCAAGATAAGGACCATGCACTCTAGCCCCATCTCATCTTGGCTTCCAACTCCTCTGCTCCTGGATGAACTTAAATTAGAGATTTTCCAGAGCTACAAGCTATACTTGTCATTTAGAACTGTTGAGAGCTACAAGCATAAGAGGACAGAAAAAAGGACAGGGTGAGAGCCCCAGGCAAAAGATGTCGCAGATGACCACCCCCACCCCACCCCCACAGCTGTCTTGCCTTCTGACATGGCCTGAGAAAGTGGAAATAATTCCAGATAAAAGTATACAGGGGTGGGGCTGGGAAGGTGGCTCAGTGGTAGAGCGCTTGCCTTGCATGTTCAAGGCCCTGGGTTCGATTCCTCAGCACCACATAAGTAAAAAGAAGAAAGCCGGAAGTGGCGCTGTGGCTCAAGTGGTAGAGCGCTAGCCTTGAGCTGAAGAGCTGAGGGACAGCGCTCAGGCCCAGAGTTCAGGCCCCACGACCGGACCCCAAAAAAATCTATACAGGGGTTATGAATATGTCAGAAATAAGCGCAAGAAAGAAAAAAAAAACATTTGAATCCTTATCTTGAGGTTCATTTCGCCTAACATCACCTTATCTGACCATTTCTGCTTGTCTCAGACATATACTAGATATTGCAAATAAGGGAAACCATGGGACCTATGTTTCTTTGGGCCTGGCTTACTTCACTTAATGTAATTTTTTTCCAAGTCTTT